GCTCCCCATTCTGCGCAGCCCGCGCACGTAGTTCCCGGCGGGGTGATGTGAGGACAGGCAGCCGGCGCGGTTGGCCATTTCCCTGGCAGCAGCCAGGGAGCCCGGGCTGCAGTGCTCGCCTGCAGAAAGGGCTTTTTTAGTGGGGTTTGTGGGTTTTTTTGGAGGGAGGTATATATTTTTTTTCGTGTTTCTCTGGGGAATACTGCTCTCCTGAAACGTAGAGTTGGAAAAAACAAACCCTGCTGGCTTGTTTGCTTACACACTTTGAGGAACATTTGCAGTCTCTGTGTCTGCTCAGTACAGAGCCTCACCTGGTGTGGCCCTACCCGTCTTGCCCTCGTTCCCACTCGGTTTTTTTTCAGGGGAAATTCTTAAAAGTCGATCTCTGAGCAGTTAATTGCTTTAGAGTACTTTTACCCCTTCCTGGCCCCCAGTCTTGACATCTCCATGCCTGGTAGCTCATGTTTTAGGTGAAAATCCTTTATGAGTGCAGTACTGGCATTTTGGACCCCTTATGTTTAGCATGTTTGCCTGCACATCCTATAGTGGAGACAGAGTCATCTTTGAGACACTGTTGAGTAAGTATCATTCCACAATACTTAACTCAGTAACAAAACTCATTGGCTAAGGTGTGTGAGTTCTGAGACCCAATGAGTAGAGCTCCTTCTAGGGATCAAGGCCATGCTGGCAGTGTCATAGTGCTTTCTAAATTAGAATGCTTTTGCTGCAGTATTTATATACTCTTTATAATAACAGCAGGCTCAAGAGTTGTGATCCATGCTTCTGAATCCCAGCCTTTGAGTTAGCTGGTGTGTATAAAGACTGGAAGAGTTTGGAGGCCTAGTTGAGAATGAGCTGGCACATGAGCAATGAACTATCAGTGCAGCATAGCCTTTGGAGCCACTGCCAAGCACTGTAAGAGCTTTGTGAATTTTGGACATCCTTCCACAGAGAAGTGAAGTGTTTTGCATGCGTGCATACGTGTGCACAGAAGACTTTTCTGTGATGCTTGCAATTGGAAACAAATCAATATGATTATGTTTGTCTTCATAGTGCCTTTTGGATAACACCCACGTATTATCAGATCTTTCTAAACTACAATGCAAACAGTTCTTATTGCACTTTGAAGACTATTTTCCTTCCATCCTTTCTCCCATCCTGGCTTCCCTGTCAGTAAGAATAAGACAAAAATGCTTTTGCAAGGTGTGGTACTCCAAGTCAATGATCATACCTTAAAGCATCCTACTGTCAGCTGAAATTTATCTTCTGGATGTCACCAGAATGAGATTAGTGCTGAATAGCAGTTGTCTTTTGGGTCTAGGGAACAGCCTTGTCTAAACAAGGTTGGAAGTCAGGATTTTCCTCTTTTTTGCTTCTATGCAAGCATGGGATGTGTTTATTCAGAGCAGTGTAATCCAGGAAAGTAGCTTTGGAAATGTAAGCCACACTCATGTATCTGTTCCTTTCCTGCAAATCACACTTAATTCTTTTTCTGATTTTAATTTTTTTTTTTAAAGAAGGGGGTGTAGTGGGGAGAGTGAGAGTGGAGCCAGTTGGTAGAAGTCTTGCCACTGGCATGGGATCTGTTTCAGATGACCTTCATCATGAGCAGACAGTGTGTGGGTGGTGTCGGCTTTGTATTCTGACTTGTCCTGATGGCCGGTAATCCGATTACATTCAGGTTGACATTGTGGACATCTATGAGTCTATCCGTGAAAGGCAGCGTCATGACAGTGAAAGGTCTACCTGCAGCACCTTGGAGCAGAACGACATTGAAGCCGTTGAAGCACTTGTTTGTATGAGCTCCTGGGGTCAAAGATCGCAGAAAGGTGACATATTAAAGATAAGGCCACTCACGCCCTTCTCGGATTCTGGGGATTTCACAATGCACGCCGAGGCTACGTCTGAGTTACCAAAGGACTACCTATCGACACTGGTAAGGAAAACATGAATACAAAATAAATATGCCCAACACCTGGATGTTACATCTCTGCAGTCCCTTAGCTTCTTGAAAAGATAAACTTGCTCAGGTGTCCCTGTGTCACAGCTACAGCACAACCTGTGCTCTGTGTGTGTGCACAGAGTAGTGAGGTGAGCGTGTTTAGCTTGGGTTTTTCTACCATCTCTGGGTTGGCAAATGTAAGGAGTTGATCCCTTGTTAAATCTAGATGTGAAAGCCCTTGTTGACTGGTTATTTGACTTGACAGAGATGTCAGGATGGCTGCTGTAGGTTTCTTGGAGCATTTTGATAAGAATGGCAGAGTGAGCCTCGTGATTTGGCATCAATGTATCTGCAAATGCTGTATGAAAAAAGACTCTTGATGACATTTGGCTTCACTCTGGTCATTATAAGAGAAAGTACACATTACCATTATGAAATAGACAATTTAATTAGTTTCTGTGCTATGTGTTTGTACATGTAGTCTGTTATTTCTCCAGACATTGGTCTACTCCAGCTGACTAATGTCAGTTGAATCCAAATTTTTTTTCTTTTGTTGTAATTTATGTTGCAACAAAAGTAGGTATTAGAAAAGGGCTTGGTGGCATTCAGATTGTAGATGGTTAAGGCCCATTTCAACCAGGAGGCTTCCAGTATGCAGTTACATCAAGAAAAGAGGGAATAATGGAGGAAAGAGGCTGAGATAGTATGGCAGCTCTCATCATGATGGGCTGCTCTCATCTCCTGCCACTCACTGTTAGCACTGTCTCTTGAGCAGCACAGGACATAGTTTTCAGTGGTAAAGGAGGAAGGAGAGGCAGTGCAGGAAGAGATCATAGAGAGAAATGGGTGAATAAGAAGGGAGAGAGCAGTTCCATTTGTTCATATTTTGGAAGTAGTCACAAGTTGACAAAGTAATAATTGAGAAAAGATCTAGGGCTTTCTGGGAGCTTGAAATGGAAAGGTACAGTATTGCTACTGTACCTTTGGTGGTCTGTTTTCTGTGAACAGCAGAGTACTCATAGCCTCTCATAGCTGTGCTCATTGCTGAGGAGAAAGGAATGAATCCTTTTTGTAGTGCAGTAAGCAGACTTGCAGTGTTTTATGCAGATTTACAGCTGCCTCATTGCCTCCCTTTTATTAATATGCTTTTAAGCAAGATCAGAATGACCATGAGATGAGGCAATGTATGTATTCTGGTTTTGGCTGGGATAGAGTTAACTTTCTTCCTAGTAGGTGGCACAGTGCTGTGTTTGAGAATTAGGATGAGAATAATGTTGATAACACACTGATGTTCTAGTTGATGCTGAGCAGTGCTTACCCAAACTCAAGGACTTTCCAGTTTCCCGTGTGCTGCCAGTGCTCAGGAAGCTGTGAGGGAGCATGGCCAGGACACTGCTGACCAAACTGGCCAAGGGGATATTCCATGCCATAGAGCATCAAAACTGGGGGGACCAGTACTGCTTGGGGACATGCTGGGTATTGATCAGTGGGTGGTGAGCAGTAGTACTTGTTTCTCTTGGGTTTTATTCCTCTTTTTATTATCTTCCATTTTGTTACAATTATTATTATTGTTGTTATATTTTGCTTTATTTTGGTTATGAACTTGCTCTTATCTCAACCCGTGAGTTTTATCTTTTGATTCTCCTCTGTAACAGATCTGACCAGAGTGTGTTGAAACAAATTTGTTATCAGCATTCATTTTATTAATTTAATAGTTGTTGATCACAGTGTTGAATTATTTGCTCTCAAAGTCGTTGTGTTATGTAACACCTTGCTTGCTGTGTGTGTTCCCCATTGTGGTGGTTATCATCTCTGAGGGTTGGGCTAAGGTTATCGTTTTACTGTACTTTGTAACACTGGATTATGATAGCATAGAATTGCTGGTCTTGAAATTAATCTGGTTTTCATACTCAGCATTGTCGTCACCTCTGTACTTGGGGAACCATCTATTAGAAACTTCTAATAATTATACGTTTTACTTTTCTCCTCGGAGAGCCAATCTGTGGAGAAGACATCTTCCCACATCCTCCCCTTCTCCAGGCTAGTTAATTGTGTTTAGGAATTTTGAAAATTCTGAATATTCTTGGGATATTGAAACCAGCATGGTCTGTGAATTACCAGGATCTGTGAATGTGGTTCAGGTCTAGTTTAGGGTTAAGCAGCTATTTGTGGCTACTCAGACCCTGGTGACAGGCACTGTGACTACTCAGACCCTGGTGATGGATGATGCAGCTGAACCAGAGGATGAGCCTGTGCTGCTATCAGTTGTCCCTGTACACCAGAAGAAATGGACATGAAAGTCAGTTCATTTAGTAAAGAGCCATCACAAGAACTGGAGGAAGAGGCAGAACAAGAGGTAACGACTCAATCCCTATCCTTGACGGAGCTGCGGGTTATGTGAAAAGGTTTCAGCCTTCATCCAGCTGTGCACATTATCACCTGCCTGCTCCAATGGGGCTAGTAGCTTTAAATTAGAAGGTACAGAAGCCTTCAGGAAAGATATGTCACCCAGCCAGGTGGGCCACCATGGAGAGAGATATCTGCTACCTCAGGGAATTAGCCATACTGGAGGTGATTTATTATGACACCCATAGATGCAGATAAAGTCCTGCACACAGAACCCATATGGCAGAGATTTGAATCATTTGTCCCAGACTGCACTGGGACAGGGTGAAGCTCTGGAACACCTGCAATACAGTGATGATATTGTGTGTGGCAATACAGCAGCAGAAGTGTTTGAGAAAGGGAAGAAAATAGTCCAGATCCTTCTGAAAACTGATTTTGCCAAAAGCAAAGTACCAAAGGTACCTGCACAGGGGATCTAGTTTTTAAGAATAAAATAGCAAGATGGATGTCATCAAATCCCAATGGATTTGATCAGCAAAATAACAGCTATGTTTCCACCAATGAGTAAGAAAGAAACACAAGCTTTCTTAGGTGTTGTGGATTTTTGGAAAATGCACATTCCAAATTACAGTCTGATTGTCAGCCCTCTCTGTCAAGTGACCTGGAAGAAGAATGATTTCAGATGGGGCCCTGAACAACAACAAGCCTTTGAACAAATTAAACGGGAGGTAATTCATGCAGAAAATTAACTCTGTCCCAGCCCTTGGGCCAGTCCAGGCAAGACAAGGTATTAAAAATGTGCTCTGCACCACAGCAGGGAAGAATGGCCCTACCTGAAACCTCTAGCAGAAAGCACATGGGGAGACTTGGGTCAACCTCTAGGATTTTGGACCTGATACAGAGGATCTGAAGCTCACTGTACTACAACTTAAAAAGATATACTGGCAGCTCATAAGGGGATTCGAGCCACATTGGAAGGGATTGGTACTGAAGCACAGCTCCTCCTGGCAGCCCATCTGCCAATGCTGGGCTGGATATTCAAAGGGTTGGTCTCTTACACATCATGCAGCTGATGCTATTTGGAGTAAGTGGGTCTTGCTGTTCACACAACGAACTCAAAGAGGAAGCCCTAGTCATCCAGGAATATTGGAAGTGACCATGGACTGGTCAGAGGGCAGAGATTCCAGGATGTCACCTAAGGAGGAGGTGATATGTGCTGAAAAGGCCCTACTGGATAATAAATCAGAAAAAAAATGAGAAACAGTGTGCCTTGTTTGGTGATGGCTCCTGCTGTATTGTAGGAAAACATTGCAGATGGAAAGCAGCTGTATGGAGCTGCTCAAGGAGAAGGTAAATTGAGTCAGTCTGCAGAGGTGAAAACTGGCTTTAGACATTGCTGAATGAGAAAAATGGCCAATACTTTATCCCTGTACTGACTCATGGATGGTAGCAATACCCTGTGGTGGCGCTTGCAGTGATAGAAGCAGAGTAATTGACAGTGCAGAGGTAAACCCAATCTGGGCTGTCACATTTTGGCAAGATATTGCTGCCCAGGTGGAGAACCTGTTTGTGAAGGTACATCATGTAGATGCTCATGTACCCAAGAGTTGGGCCACTGAAAAACATCAAAACAGCCAACAGGTGGATCAGGCTGCTAAGACTGAAGTGCTCAGGTGGATCTGGATTGGCAACATGAGAGTAAATTATTTATTGCGTGGTGAGCCCATGGCACCTCAGGCCATCAAGGAAGAGAAGCAACATTTAGATGGGCTCATGATTGAGGGGTAAACTTGACCATTGTCACTATTGCGTGGGTTATCCATGAAGTGTGGAACATGTGCTGCAGTTTTGCAAGCCAAGTGGGTAAAGCCTCCTTGGTGTGGAGGCTGAAATAAAAATACGGGTAGACCTGGCAGTTTGACTGTATCACACTCCCTGGAACCCACCAAGGCAAGTGCCATGTGCTTACAATGGTGGAAGCAACCACTGGATGGCAGGAAACATATCCCATGCTCCATGCTACCACCCAAAACATTGTCCTGGGGTTTAGAATGCAAGCCTTATGGCGACAGGGCACCCCAGAAGGAATCAAGCTGGACAACAGGAATCATTTCCAAAACAATTTCATAGACAGCTGGGCCGAAGAGCACAGCACTGAGTGAGTATATGACATCCCTATCTGAAAATCAATACAATGGACTGTTAAAGCCAACACTGAGAGCAATGGGTGGAACCTTCAAACAATTGAATACACATTTAGCAAAGGCCACTTGCTCAGTCAATGCTAGAGGATCTGCCAATTGGGCCAGCTGTGCCCAATCAAAACTTTAACATAGTGTAAAAGGGGATAAAGTCCCTGTAGCGCACATAAAAAAATTTTAGGGAAACAATCTGAGTTATTCCTACCTCAGGCAAAGGCAAACCCATCCATGGGCTTGCTTTTGCTCAAGGACCTGTGTACACTTGGTGGGTAATGCGGGAGGATGGGGAAGTCCAGTGTGTGCTTCAGGGGGATCTGAGAATAGCCAGTGATTTGGATTGTATGATGTTAATTGCCATATAGCACTGTATGTCATCACTGCTATGGTGGCTACATGCAACATCAAGGGTATTAGGGTAAGAATCATCCAGAATAATGAAGAATGAGCTTTGATGAAACTGGACAAGTGGAACGCAGGTGGAATCAGAACTGACTTCAGCAGGCAGCAATCCAACACCACGTACTATCTCTCCTGCCCTGAAGGACTACTGCGAGATGGAGCCCAAAGTCGTGGATAAATGAATTCAACAGATGTTTTAGAGCAATGGTCTGCCCATAGACAGGGAATGATATCTGTGTGTATGTATCAAAAGGCAGGAAAAGGGATGGTGGTTAATTGGGATGTATTGAGAAGTGTAGGCATGACATAAATGGCATAGAATATGGGGTGGATATTGTCCTGTTTTCGGCTGGGATAGAGTTAATTATCTTCCTAGTAGGTGGTATAGTGCTGTGTTTGGGATTTAGGATGAGATTAATGTTGATAACACACTGATGTTTTAGTTGTTGCTGAGCAGTGCTTACCCCTAAGTCAAGGACTTTCAGTGTCTCATGCTCTGTCAGTGAGGAGGTGCACAAGAAGCCATGAGGGAGCACGGCCAGGGCACTACTGACCAAACTGGCCAAAGGGATCCTCCATGCCATAGAGCATCATGTTCAGTGTATGAACTGGGGGGGAGTTGGCCAGGAGGGACCGATCACCGCTCAGGGCCAGACCTTGCGGGTGGTGAGCAATTGTACTGTGTATCACTTGTTTCTCCCTTTTCATTACAATTATTTTTATTTCTATATTTCCTTTTATTTGAATTATTAACTTGTTCTTAACTCATAGGTTTTACCTTTTCCCAGTTCTCCTCCTCATCCCACTGGGCATGGGGATGAGTGAGCGAGCAGCTGCATGGTACTTGGTTGCAGTCTGAGCAGTACACTTTAATCAGTTTGTCTTAAGAGGCAAGTTCTGAGATTCTGGGGAAGGGGCATAATTTATTTTTCACAGTAAAGATAGTGCAAAGCTGTGCTATGGAATTACACTGATGTACAATGATGATTTGTTTTTTGCAGTGCATGACCCCTCCGCACAGCCCTGACTTTGTTGAGATATCAGCGGCTACACTCCTCTCCTCACAAGTCACTTACTCCAAGCCAAGGACTGTCATGGCAAATACAACTGCCTGTTCGGTCACATCAGTGACTGGTGCCTCTCCCATAGCCAAGCCATCTGTTCTCAACGTGGAGCAACAGTGCAGTCAGAAGCCAGGGATCTCTGAAGCTTCTGCCTCTCAACCTTGCAGGGCCATGGCAACAAGTGTCATACGTCACACAGGTGATAGTTCTGCTTACCATCACATTCCTGCTGTGCAAGAGAAAACAAAGGTAACTTCAGGCTACGGCACTTCCAGAGACTGGTGTGGAGTGGATGAACGAAGACATTCCAGACTACCACAGGACACGTGTGCTGCAGATGATTTAATCAACAAAAGCTCTCCAGTACGTCAGCCTTATGCACATGACTCCAGTGATATAGTGACCAGTAAAGGGCAACTACCAGTCCAGCCTGTTTCACCACAGACCCACTTACCAAAGAACTGTGAGAATGACTTGCAAAAAAGAGCTACCCCAGTGACACCTGCCCCTGTTTCAAGCCCCCAAGTTCTCTGTCAAATGATCCCTCTAAATGGACAAAACAGTATGATCAATGCCTATGTCAAGCCTTCAACTCCAGCACTCTCAACTCCCATGAAACCTATTTTACCACAGACAGCACCGCTCTCCCAGCCTGTGCTCATGGGACCTTCTGTGCCTCAGGGGACTGTCATGTTGGTTCTTCCCCAGCCTACTGTCACACAGACAGCACAGTGCCCACAGACCGTAATGACTGTTGGGAACACCAAGTTACTGCCCCTTGCCCCTGCTCCTGTGTTCATTGCTTCTGGTCAAACCTGCGCCCCCCAGATGGACTTTTCTAGACGGAGGAATTATGTTTGCGACTTCCCCGGCTGCAAGAAAACCTATTTCAAAAGTTCCCACCTCAAAGCCCACCTTCGCACCCACACTGGTGTGTACTAGGGAGCTCTGGCACTGGTTTGTGTTGGGGTGCCGAATGCATGGTTTTTGTGGGGACCAGGGTGGGAAAGGGAAGAGGCAGGTGATTGGGAAGCTTGTGCTCATCTTGGGGAAGGAAGGAATGTTCATTCTCTGTGGGCAAGCAAAACAAGCCAGACTTTGTTCTGAGACCTCAGCTGACCCCGTAGTGTTAGTTGAATTTTGCAGGCTTTAGCTGGAGTGAAGCTTTGCCGTCTGTGTGCGTATGTTTAGATCTGAGTGGAATCCTGCCATCTGGACTAGATTGAAATTAATTGTGCAAGTCCCTTGTTTTGGGGGCTGGAGAGGTCTGGTGAGAGCAAAGCATAGCACAGGTAGTTGGTCTTAATTACTACATGAGTAAAAGGAAAGAGAAACTTAGTGCTCTTTTTACCCAGGGTTTTGTTTAGGCTAAATGGGAGAGATTTTGGGCTGCTGTGTTAGACAGTAGAGACGCTATAGGAATATAACGCTTTATTAAGTTACAGAATGGGAATTTTAAAGGTAAATGAAAATTAATGTAATTAACATGAGCTGATTTGCTCCATAAAATCTGGTCAGTGTAGAGACAGTATACACGTGCTTTACTTACTCTTTTTCTGGCTCCAGGATCCTGTTAAATTAAAACTAACATTGAGTTCTCAGGGATTATTTTTGATGTTGAAGGAGAGGCATAGTGGGAGATTGGTACAGAATAGCTCTATCTATTTTTGGTTTATCTTGACTTTTTTCCTCACCTGCCCTTATCCCACAGACACTGGTTTATTGGATGTTACCTTCCGTGACAGGATTTGCATTAGTTTGCCAGCTTGTCTTTACAGTTCCTTTGGGGAAAGAGCTTAACCTCTACATGAAGCTGATAATCCTTTTAAACCATAGCTCAGAGGTAGAATGATGCTTCTGCTTCTGGTTTTGAGAGGCTGCTGAACTAACCTGGCACTAGAGGATAAATGTAGACTAGCAGCAAGTGTCTCGCTCTGAGCTTGTGCCACTGCTGATCCATAGGGAAGTTTTGTGTGTCCCTGTATCGTGATTAGGACTAGGACATCAATGGGAGGTGAAACACATGGACCCCTCACTAGCCATTTCACATTACAAGAAGAGGAGGAAGAGTAGTTCAGCTTTCTTTTCCCACCTTTTCCCTGCACACTGACTAGTTAGATGATACCACATACACCAAACGCAGAACTTTACTCTCAATATCTGTCATAAGAAGAACACTCTTGTGGGGCTTTCTGCAGGCCGCTTCTGGTCTGCTCCAAAATGTCCCCATAAATTTGGGCCACATGGTGGATGCTTATCTGGAGCTCTCTGAGAGTTGCAGGCGGTAGATCACATTGTTCAGGATAGGTCTCATGTTAAGCAGTGGCCCAGGATGAGCAGCAGCTGATGTGGGCAGCCTTGCTTGACTGCTGCTATTTCTGGGCATGCAAAAGGAACTCCCCTGGCCATCTATGGGATCTCCAGCTGCGTGGGGATGGCAGCACAAGGCCATGGGACCTCCAGCTGTGTGGGGGTGGCATGACAGGCCATGCCTCAGGAGTGCTCGCTGTGGGGGGTTGATGTTTGTGTGTAGGACTGGGTCACTGGAGCAGCAGGACCCTGAGGCTCCATTCCAGGCTTCCTGTTAGCCCCTAGTACTTGGTGATGATATGGTGCAGCTGTAGAACTGTGGATGAATAGGGATGGAGGCAGAGGGTTGCTTCTAGTTCTGACAGTGGATAAGGTAGCACAGATGAGCAGTTCTTTGGAACTCATTGTTTGCAAGGCAGGTTTTAAGTTAGTTCTTTAATAAAAACGCAGCACAGCTTCTCAAAAGTAACTCATGCTTCCTTTTTGTCCTGCAGGAGAAAAACCTTTCAGCTGCAATTGGGAAGGCTGTGACAAGAAGTTTGCCCGCTCAGATGAACTGTCACGCCACCGCAGAACTCACACGGGAGAGAAGAAGTTTGCGTGTCCCGTGTGCGAGCGTCGCTTCATGCGCAGCGATCACCTGACAAAGCACACCCGCTGCCACATGACCACGAAGAAGACCCCCAGCTGGCAGACAGAGGTTGGCAAACTCAGCAGAATTGCCACAGCAGAGAAACCGAAAAGCAGCAGTGCTCTGAGTATGCTCATCCCCATGCCATCACCCGTCTGTCAGGGCTAGAGTGAGGAAACACCTTCCCTGCAAACCTTGAAGATCAGGAAGAGCTCCGATGGCTACAGCAGAACTGGCAATGGCTTTTGTTTTCCCTGTGTTTGTGCATACTTTAGGTTCCTGCAGTTTAGGTCCTCAGTTGATAATGCTGTATGAGAAATCTATCCTATATTTCCTCGTCCCTTCCCTGTTTTTTTTTTTTTTCAACACTTGGGCAATTGCAATCACCAGCACTTCAGGAAAGCAGAACTCTTTAGAAATTATTTTGGCTATAGTGTAATGCTTGCTGTTAATATTTTGATGGACAGTAAAACAGGGTGGTTTTTAATTTTTATACTACTATTTTCTATACCAAATATATTTTATATTTGTTCTTTTTGGTCTTGTTATGCAGGCAAATTACTTGGCCTGCATTAGTAGGGGTGTGCTGGATGAGACCCAGAGTTTTGGAAACTCCTTTTCAGTAAACCTAAACAATTGCCTTCAGAGCATTTTATAAACATGTAAAATTTGATAACTCATATTGGTTGGTGTTTGCACACTTGCAAATCCTGATCCTGCAGTGGGCTAGTGCTTTTACACCCTCCTTACGCAGGTGACATTGGAGATCAAAGTGAGTCAGTCATTTTTTAACACAAACCAAACCAGAATGACTTTCTTTGAGAACACAAGTGTTGAAATCCTCAACATTTTCTGAATTCATACCCTTTGCAAGTGGAAGCCGTTGTGGCTTTTGGTAGAAGTTTGACATACCGGGCATTCTTGAGTCCACAGTTCATTGGAGCAAAGTTTGGAGGAGCCAGACTACTCTGATGGAGGTAGAAGCACAAACACCATTTAGAGACTTTGACACTAAAAATTATGCTTTATTTTTGGTCCTACTAAACCAGCATAGCAAAATCAAGTGAAAAATGCAACAATGGCAAGATAGCCCATGAAGAATTATCTGGGTCTCTATTTTGTTTTGGTTTTTTTTTTTAGAGAACAGGAGAAATAGAAAATTAAGGGATTTTATGTATTGTGGATGCTTGTGCACCTTATAGGAAATTGTTCAAGGCTTTCATTTACCTGTATCAATGCACCAGAGGAAGTGCTAATTGTGTCTTGAGTTAAGAAATAGCCACCCTGTCAACCTGATGATGCTCTTCATGTGGCCTTATACTTCTCCACAGTACTTTGTATAAAATCACCCTTTTCTATTAAACGATACACTCTTCCTGTTGAATGGATTTTCTTTTACACGAAGTGTAATCATGGTTAAGAAGTGGAACCACTGGATGCAGGAGTGCTGTGTTGTAATGGCATGGTATGAATAATAAAAGGCCTGTAGCACAGTCGGACTGCTCAGTTTCCGTGGTGCGGAAGGATGTGTAAACGTACTGTAGCAGAGCTGACAGCAGAGCAAAGCACCAGGTGTTTTGCTGCGAGACAGCTCACCTGCTGAATGAAATGTTTCTGTAGAGTTTATTCCTTATGGACTCTTCTCCCTTCAGCCACTCCTATGCTGAAGCTTAGTTGAGCACTGAGGAGGATTGTTTTTTCCTGGATGCATCAAATGTGGATAACTAGGAATGCTGTCTCTTGCATGGCTTTGTTCTGAAATCCTGGTCTTGCTTCCCGTTATAGGCAAAGCATGGATCTCATCTGTGTAAGTGCAGACTTGCTGATTTCAGCTAGCACTCCCCTGAAATCAGCAGAGACCTGTTTCAGTTTAAAGCAGATTATGTCATTATTTTTTACACTAAAGTTTATAGTTATAAGGAACAGTACTAAGTTTTCAAACTGCACTAAATTGGAGTATTGTGCTAAGTGTACTGAAGTTTTTGTGCCTGACCTTTATAACGCCCACACCCTGTTCACTGACACGTGCTGTAATCCCACTGCCCCCAGCATGTCTGCCGGTGAGTGTGTGTGTGGACTTTCCAAAGAACTCGGTTGGAACCCCTTTTCCTGGCAAAGTGGATGCTTGTGGTGTTGCTGTTCTCTGTTGATACCCCGTTTTCCAAATTTGTGTGGTGAACAAAGAGATGTCGCTGCTTTACTTTTTTGTTTGTTTTTTTTCTTGGAAATCCCGAAGTTTGGCTTTTGGATGCTGTTTTCATTTGCTTTTAACCAGGGGAAGCATGTCCTGTCTCAGTTCAGTGGCCAGTTTAGTACTTCATTTTTTCTTTACCAACTTCATTTTTTCTTTACCAACTTCATTTTTTCTTTACCAACCATCTGTGGTGTAAACCTGAGCAAAACAGTTTGAAAACTCATGTCATAATTATAAGTAAATTGTCATGTTAGTTGCATCATGGGAGGAAAATGATGGACTGGAGAACACAGAATTTTGAAAAGTGTGTCATGTATGTGTGTCATGATGTGGAAAAGCAATGGCTCTCTCCTTGTTGGGTTTACATGGCCTGCAAGGGCTGCCTCCCACCACCTGTGTCCGGGACATGCGGATTGTTCTCTTGTGAATGTGCATGAATAGCTGTGCCGTGGTGTGGCTGTGTCTGCTCTGTGTGCTCTGTTCCTTCCTGCTGTGTAAGGGTTATTTATGGAGTACGCATGACTGGGATAGCTGATCTCTTTGCACTTTACTGCCTGAACTCTATTGTTCAGTCTTTTTATTTTGAACCTATATTTTAAGGAAATGGAATCGCATTTTTTGTACCTGTTTTTAACTTTTATTAAATAAAATGCGTGTAATGTGACTGGTTTTAAGTCATAAAAAAAATTATGAATTTTCAGGTTTCATAGATGTCCATTCCAGAACTATGAAAATCCATCTGGATTAGGTTTTATGTCTAGGCAAGTGGAAGACTCTGGGAACAACAGTCTGTACTTCTGTTCCAGCATGGCCTCCAGCAGCTGTCAGCAGAAGGGATGGGCTAGGTGCTGCTCTGTTGGTGTTGCAAGCTGTGCATGAAGTGAATGCTGGAAGTAAAAGATGAGAATGTAACTCAAAAGTTACATTAGCCCCAGTTCTTCCTGTTCCCTCATACCTGCACTATGGTAAGGAAGGGGCTCTGGCAGGCTGGGTGTCACCTCGAGGTCTCATTTGGGAAGGAGATGGCCAGCGATGGTGACAGCAGCAGCAGCTATCTACATTTTTATGCTTCTCTGCTGTTTCTTTTCCTCTGACCAGTTCCTGAACTGCACAGATGTTTATTTCCAGCAGGAAAGGAGAGGGTGTAATGATTTCAGCTTTCTCTCACAGCCCTTCACTGCAAAGTGGCTCAGTCCCTGTAGTCAGAGCCCTCGGAGAACAACTTCCGAGCGGTGACTCAAGGCTTTGTCTGCAAAAGTGCACATCATTCTTGCAAGTGTGAGGAAGGTGAAAAGAAAATCTTATGGATGGTTCTGATTCCCCCCCAGGAGAACAACTGGAAGTCTTTGCTGCAGGATCAATGCTCTGGCAGAATGGCCCACATTCTTCAGCCTGTGGGCTCTACAGGTCTAGTGTAGAGCTTTGTTTCCCAGAGGAAGTTGTCCTACCTGTCCCTACTATTATTTTTCAAGGAAGATTTTTCTGAGCATCAAATCATATCCTAAACAATACTTGTTGTTTTTTTTTTGTTGCCAATTTGTATATTGTCTCCCTGACTTTGTTTATATGAAACATGGTGATGGATTTCACAGTTCTGTGCTCATCTTTCTGCTTCTCAGCACCAAGCTGTAGTCTGAGCTGTTCCATGCAGCCAAGAGGTGCACTCCATACACATCTTAATGGTGCTGGAGTCTCAAACAGCTTCATCCTGTGAGGGAAACAATCTGCACACAAGGAAGCCTTCACAGCTACCCCTGTGCTGACACAGGCATTGTTGAGGATTTCTGTCCTGTAGCCATTCTAAATCCATGAAAAGGAATCATTTTCTGAAGGAAAATGCATTTGTGCCCAAACCTATCTGTTGGCTTAATGCTATGTTTTGCAGTCAGACTGGCATTGCTTGTGGTCACACACACCACACTGTGTTGTACAGCCAAACCTTCAGCTCAGCGGTAGGTTCCCTGGTCTTGCAAATTGATGAGCACTGATCCACTTGCAGTTTGGATACTGGAAGAGTGAATCCCTTCTGAAGCTGCAGAGCAGAGTGGGCAGAGGTGGTCCATGCTGTCAGGTGGTTGCACACTTGGTGTGCTCCTCTGGCTGTGGCCACAGCTCTGGCTACCTCTGCCTTTCCAGCTGAGAAAGCTGTACTCGGCATCTGGTGGCTGATGAAGGTGGCCCTTCATCTGTCATCTCATGAGCTGAGACCTGCCTCAGGGTTGCATCTGGCTTGAGTACATCTGCTAAGTTAAATCTTCTGGTTTTGAAGTTTCGTCTGTGAGCCCATCTGCCTGTTTGCCTTCCGTTTGTGTCTGGCAAGGCAGCTCAAGGCAGGCAGGCTTTGGCTGTGAGAAGGTAAACTACTTCCATGCATGCAGGAAGAGTCAGTCATGACTCAAAGCACAGCAACCTGCAGGCTGAGGAAATGGCAGGACAGTCCAGGGGGAAGCTGCAAAGCCTCAGACATGTCTCTTCACTGTCCAGGCAGTCCTGGGGTACACTTCCCTGCAGTATGTTAGCACCGAGCCATTTTCTTTCCAGATTGTTTCCATCCTCTGTCAAATGCAGCCTTCCTCATTTTCTGCTTCAGTCCTGTGTAGGAGAAGAAAATTCGTGACTTTTATGTTCTGATGTGTGCAGGCACACATTGGCACATCTTAGACGTGCAGAAAACTTGAGGAGTTTGGAGCATACCCTTTCCTGAGAGAGTTTTTCCTAGATAGGAAAAATACCTTAGGTTTAATTGTCTCCTTTGTAGTGTCTCTTGAGTTCAGAGTGACTTCCTTTCTGTTTGTTATTATTGTCCAGATAAACTCACTTTAACTCTGTGCAAATAATTGCCATGTCCTGTGTCCAGAGTGGGGTGAGAGGGAACTCTGCTGTGGATGTGGTCTGTGCCAGGCAGCTGCTGTTCCACCTCCCTGCCCTGTGTGGTGGGGAACTGCACGATGCTCCTGTGCCACAGCTCCAGGCCTGCACCTTGCTGGGGCAGAGGCTCTGTTTCAACTCCGAGGGTTATGTGTGTGAATAATTTGGCTGAAAGCGTGTTGGAATTTGACCCTCAGAGAAAAGGGGTTGGGGAAGAGCATTCCTTGGGATGGTGAGGTGCCACCCTCCTTTTTCCTCTATTATGAAGGTGAGTAGATGACAGCAGGGTGCTGGACAAGGGAACTATTAGTTGCTCTGCTCTTGGAGGTCCTGGCAATGGGATGGTGGCAGATACTCTCCCCACTCATGTCTACTTACAGCTCCCAAATGAATTCTTGAAGCTTGTAAGAGATTTCTGGGTGACTACAGAACAGGTAAAAGATAACTTGCTTCCTAAAACTGCTCCACCACTGATCTGTTTTCTTAGGTGCTCTCTGGGAAACAGTTCTGCCCATTTAGTGGGCTACTGGAAAGGCAGAGCTCTGCAAAGAAAGGCAATATGTGTTGCAGTGCTGTCACAAAGAAAAGGCATCTAGGAAGAAAGAGACAAAAGGATTCAAAGTGTTTGTTTGCACATGAAAAACAGATTTGAGGGAAATTGAGAGTCTGAGTAAGTGTGTAAACTGGTTCTGTAGTTTCAGGTTTGTTGGTTTTGTTTTTTAAGATCTTGGGTTGAGTCATTTAGAAAATATGGTTCTATGTTTTCCCCACCAGAACCTTTCAGCTGGCATCTTGTTGCATGGCCAGGTAAGAAAACTGAACTTGTGGAAGTGAAGAAGCTCAGAAGTGGCAATATCTTCTCATGCACTAAAGAGTAATTTTTCATGATTAGCTGAAAAAATTACCTTCTTCTGTCCCCTCAGCAACTGTGGTAATAGGAGGTATGTAGAGACAGTCAACTGGCCAGCAAAGGCTTTCTTACTCCTTTTGGACTAGTGCAAAATGCAGCATGTAGCATTTGTCTTTGTCAGATGAATAATGTAGTGATTTGTTTAAAACAGTGGCCTTTTGCTGTTTTATTAATGGAGATTAATAATGTTAGCTGAAAAGCCATGGTCAGCTACCCTGTCCTATGCTGCATGTATTAAACAGGAGGGTAGTTTCTAAAATGATGAACGAGAAATTCTTCAGAACCCTGCTTAATTCCAGCAAACTGTTTTAGGAGCAGGAAGTAATGGCAAGCTGAATAATTTTTTGTCCTTCAAGCAGTTGTGACTTGATGATGGTTATAGAGAAATACTACGAAAAGAAAATGAACTTTCCGATAATTCAGCTGGTGGGGGGATGTCAGCATTCACTTCCTGAGATGTGATCTCCACAGTGCAATTGTCCTTATTTTTAAAAAGCCATTAATTCAAGAAGTTTCTCTTGAAA